AGAATATGAAACTAGAAAAGTTGTATGGTATAAGTTCAGGACTAAATTCAGTTATATTTTTATTATTTTAAATTATTTTGATATATTTAAATACTAGAAAATTAACTTGAATAATCAAATTTTAAAATACATAAACTTCATGAATAAATTGGATTAAATATCCACAAGACCTCCATATATAAAATTCTCAATCATTTTACAAGCTAAAAACAAGACAAAAGCAGTGATTTGCAGTATTCATGGATTTGAAAGCAATAATGTCAAGATAAACCTTCTTTTTAAACTGACTGATGACCATAATATTTCTTCTCAGCTTTTATGGAAAATGAGAGGCTGCTTCAGAAATATAAACTAAAGCAGAACTTTTTTCTAATCCATATTTTGGTTTGATAACAAAGTATATTCTTCTAAATTATCATATTTTGAAACATATTCTGTATGTGTACCATTAAAGTCACTAATGCTGCCTCAAAAATAGACTGTAGATCACTTATGAGACCACAGTGAAGTATCCTTAGTCATTTTCTCACATGTGTGGTTAACTAAATTTTCATAAAGTTTTCAAGGTAATTACATCAGTAATGAAATGTTTCAATAAATAATAATGGAATATAGATAGATGCATAGATACATAGATAGATATTTCATGTATATGGAAAATAATTAATTAAAATTTCTGCTATTCAAAACATTAAATTCAAAGTTAAGATGCCAATTAGGAGAAAATATTCAAAATGCACAGATTTGCAGTCTGAATATATAAGAATCCTTAGAACTCCATAATAAGTAAAACAGAATTTTAAAGTAGGCAAGAAATTAGACATTAAAAAAAGAACCTATATAAGTGACTAATAAGGATATGATATGATAGTCTACATTATGGCCATGGAAATATAATGTCAAACTAGTGAGATGCTACTTTGAAGCCAGTGGAACAGCTCAAATTAAAAAGACACTCTGAGTGCTACTGTAAATATGGAGCAAATTGCTTGAGTGTGTAAAATTCTCAACTAAGAAACACAAGTTGAACTTTTTCTTTTTTTTTTGGTACCGGGGACTGAACTCAGATCCTTGCCCTTGCAAGGCAGGCCACCAAACCGCTGAGCTAAATACCCAGCCCTAGTTGGACTTTTTCTTAAATAGATAAGCATGTATTAGAATTATATATTCCAACAGTACAATCCCTTTCCTACTTCTTTAACCCTTCAAGATAGAAAAAATAACTACCAACAAAAGTTTTATACAAACTTTAATCATAGAAACTTGTATTCATAGAAACATCAGCCATGATATTTCCAAACAGGAAACAAATTTTATGTGAAAAACTAAACAAACTATGGCACAATCTCCTACAGCAAATAGCAATCGACTGAGTGTTTTTTTTCTAAACCAGTGATATAATTCAGATGAATGACAAATGTATCACATTGAGCAAAGATAGGAGATATAGGAGCAAACAGTGTAGGATACCAATGACATATATGTATGTTTAGAAAAGGTTAAAAAAAACTATGACCTAGAAATATTGTCAAAATGGGAATAAGGAATAAAAGAGGATTGTCTATGGGGAAATTTTTCTGAAACTGAGAAATTACATTTTATATACACTGCTCAAAGCTTATTGAACCACGTGCCTCATATATGTGCATTTTTACTATACATACATCATACTCCAATGAAGTACATAATCACATAGTCAGAACATTAACATAAAACATGAACTTGGAATCACACCTTCCTGAAACAAAAACTGGAGCTCCAAATTCTACTTTTTACTTTCTTAATGCTCCAGTTGAGGATTATGTGGAAATATTGTGTAGCACAGTTTCTCAATCTTGGTTTTATTGACATTTAGGAGTGAGTTATTATTTGCTGTGTGGCCCTGTCCTATCCCTTAAATGATATATAGCAGCATTCTTATCCTTTACCCAGCTAGTATGGTCCCACCCCCAGTTGCAACACTGAAAAGGACCTCTGAACACTGTTTAATTTCCTGAGACTGGGAGTAAATTTCCACACTGAGAACTGCAGAGTTGGCACAACCTACCTGTGGACAGACAGATGGGGATGGGTTTCAAAAACTGTCACTTACCAACTTTGTTTTTATTGCTTTTCAGTTAAGATTATCATTCTGTTTGTCTTCAGGTCAACGTTCAGCAGAAATGAATTATTTTCCCTGTTTCACATGCAATACTGACTGTAAGGAAAATCACTCTACTAAAATAGCATCTCATGGCTGCCCTACTTTACAAAGTTTACTTTAACCTTTTATAGTTTATAATCTCTATTTTATAAATTCATAATTTGTAACTGAAAAAATCAGTCTTAATTTATTTCCCCCAAAAGGTTAATAATATATAAATTTGTCTAGATTAAACAATTTATTCTGCTGTGTCAAAGATGATTTTTTGTTTTACTGCTCTATGTGTCATAAACAAGAAATTCAACATATCATTACAGTTCACTGTAAGATGAGAAAATATAGAATACTTGATTTTAATACATAAAATATAAAATTCTTTAGCAATTATTGATATAAATAATTATGAAAATATCTTTTTAAATAATTTACAATCTCTAGAGCTGTAAGAAAAATTAAAAGCATTTTTGAAAGATTTATAAAATTTAGAAAGAGGGTAGGAAACATAAGTAATTATAATATACCTGAATTGATAAAATGATCATTTTTGTTCTAAACAGAAATTTAGGGAAATGCTGAGAAGATATAAAACTTTTCATAGTTACAGGTGATACAATAATCTTTATATTTTGAAAAATTAAAACATTATACTCTACCAGTTCTTACCTAATCATTAATCAAGTATTTGTTAAGTATCATATGTCCATTTCAGTACTTTAGTGAGTATCCTCCAAAATAACAGTTTCAAGCTAATTTAATATAGTTAAAAGGGTCAGCTTCCAATGACAGATCAGCTACAGACAAGTTACAGTCAATTCTGTGATAGCAAAAAGCATATCTAAAGCAATTGCTATAGACAATAAAGAAGAGTTGAATGACATATGTAGATGATCAAGACCATGCAAAACAGGGAAGAAAAGTAGGGAGTAACTATGTCAAACAGAACACAGCAGGAGTTCTAACTCAGAGTTCAGCTTGGAGTCTTTGTGTCGCTGAGATACCTCCGATTCTATCAGGTGGCCAGGAGTAATTGGGTATCATGTGGCAAAGCAAGGTAGGAGAAGTCCTTTAATGCTCAGTGGAAGAATTACACCTCAGTAGATATTTATCTCCAGTTACACTGAGATACTCAGTGGATAAATATCCACAATTGAGAATACTTAGTGGATAAATATCTCTAGTTGAAAATAATAATATCACGCAGCTGATACTATAAAATGTCATGACATAGAAGAGTATAAGGAATTCTGAAAGGAGTTATTCTGATTATTAAAGAAATATCACAAATCAGATTTGTCCATAATTTATGAATGCTACAGATGCTACTAAAAATAGATTCTGGATTTTCTCTTTTATTATTCACATTTATATAAACTAATCAAATGTATAAAATTAACCTGGTGATATAACTGCAGTGAAAATAAATTTTGTTTTTATAAACATGCACACACATTAAAAAACCTAGAGCAAATGCTTTTTGATATATCAGAGAATTACATCCGGATAAACCCTTCACGTGTTTTAATTATCATGTATTGAAAAGCATTCGATCTCTGTAACCTACTATAAAATAGAGCTTAGCAATACAGTATGCTACCGAGTATCCATTGTCTACCCTTTTTTTGTCATCACGTGTCTGGCTGGAAGCTGTGGCTTGCTCCTGCCAGCCAGGACTCTAAGAGTATCACATTTGTAGCCCAGGAAAAGATCAAAATAAAAACATGCAAGGGCCAGGTATTTAGCTCAGTGGTTCTGCTGCCTGCCTTGTAAGCACAAGGTCCCGAGTTCGATCCCCGGTAC